ATGGGCTTAGAAAATAATATTGGTTTGTGAAAACTATAAGCCTTAGAGTTAGCCAATCAATTATTTAACCAATGCAAATTCATCATGAATTTTTATATGAATATGAGTAAAACTCATATTATAATTATTGTTTATACTATTTTGTGAAAATGATTCTTTGGATTCATGTTTCATGACTTGCATTGATATGGTGATTTAGATATGAACATATTAGTTACAAAATGATTGTGAAAATAGTTAAAATTAAAGTTAAATATATCATGGACTCTTGTTGTATATAGGCATATTGGTCATATGAGTAAAGTTTGAATTTATTATGTATATGAAAATGTTATAACCAATTAAAAGTAGTAAATAACAGAGATATATAAGCTGCACAATGATAGAGAAATAAAGTTCTAATAAAATTTTGAAATCAAATTTAAAGGTTTCAATATTCATGAACTTGAAATTGGCCATTGGGCAATTAATATATGCATTGAAAACTCATGATAACATTTGAGATAGTTGGTTTTCACTAAAAGCCATCATTATAAATAAGATAACTTCAATAGCCAAATCTATATAATTTTTAGGTGTGATGTGAATTATTATGGTTGACTTAGAATAGTCATAAGCCGAAATTGATGCCACAATTTTGATTATGTTGTGGTAATTTTTTTGTTATGTATATGGTTTAATTCATGGATTGTACAAATGATTTATCATCTATGGTTTTATATAGTAAAAATTTCAAAGTATATTTACTTTGAAAACCATAAGTAATTCAAAGATCTTGTGAATATGAAAACTTTTATAATAGCAAAAGGAATGCTATTTAATCCATTTAGGTGATGGAAATGGTTTTTTTCATGGTAATAAAAAAAAACATTATTAATAGTGTCCATAATAAAATAGATTCATATAAGTATTTATGAATTGACATAAAAGTCTTAAAAGAAGACTATAAAAGCATAATTATATTTAAAATCTGTTTATTGATGTAAACTCTTATATTGAGTTAAAATATAAAAGTTTTGAAACTTTTATAGAAATATTAAGATATTTGCTAGTTATCTTTTACTAAAGGTAGATTTGAAGGCCTCCTTCTTAAAAAAAAAAAAAAAACCACCAAATAATGAAAAGATAAATGAAATGACAACTTGATTAAGTATATATGGTATCTTGAACAATTGAATGAGACATTCTTTAATAAAAGAATGCATACTTGCACATGGTGGAAGTGATAAGAATAAAAAGAAATAAAAATTACAACCATAATATTGTAAGATTTTAGTATAATTTTATGAGTGAATTATACAAACTAATAAGTTTAGACACTTATTAAAGTAAAGTCATAAAAAAAAAGTCCTTAAAAATCTTAAAATGACTAAAATATTTTGGTTTATTCATTGAGTTTATTTAATTGTGCTAGAAGTATAATTGTATTAAAAATATATAAAAGTATGGAAATAGAATGGTTGAAATTAATGAATATAGATATGTGACCACAACCAAAACTAACTATTTCTTAAAATGATAAAAATGAGACAAAAATGTCTGGAGCATATAAATGATATGTAAAATAAAAATTTTGGATATATTAGCTTGAAGTGATTATATTAAAGATTCAATTTTAAGTGGGGGTAATTACCATAAAAGAAAATTGAATTTCAAGATATTTTGTTAGTAGTACAACAAGTAGAATGGATTTAAATCCTTACTATTAGACACCAATAATGGGAATCTAACTTTGAACTAGTAACCTCTAATTACAAAGTTTAATTGATAAAAATAAGTTATTATTATGTGTCTGTTAAATATTAGTAAAATTTATTCAAATTTTAAAATTAGTGTGATCCATTGTATAGGGATGATGGATTTTTATACTCTTAATGGAGTTTTAAATGTCTAAAGCAATAGAGATATAATAAAAACTTTACCTATATAAATATAGAAATGGTGTCACTTCAACAAGAAGAATTGAGGTCTCTCTTGTAAATGTTTATGAATAGAATAAATACATGGTTATAATAGTGCTAAAAGTAATTATAAACCTTTGAAAAAAAAAAAATAAGTATTATATGTGTTATATCTTTAATTCTAATACTATGAGTATACGTTTAATTGCGAACACCATCAACTTCATTAGAATTCTAAGATATATACACAAATTGAAAGTTTATATCGAGATATATCTTTTTGTATTCATAATATTTATTTATGTGAAAAGTAAAAATTAAGCTCCAATATTCCAAACTAGTTGAGGATTGTTAGTGGTTTAAAATGTGGTGCATCTCACATTGAATAAAAAGATTTAATTATTGACAAATAAAATTAATTTTTGTATTAATTTTATTCATATTTTAAATAATTATATTTAAACAAAAATAATTATCATATGATAAATGATTATAACTATTTGAATATAAATAGATTATTATTCATAAAAGTCATGATTATACAGAATGTCATAGCCATCTGAATAGAAATTTATGTTTGTTTATTTATTATAAATAAATCTTTCAGTACGATCATTTTCACTGCTTATGATTGAAGAATTTGAGATTTTATTGTATCCTAAATGTATAATTACCTTTAAGAAAGTATTCTTTATGCCTTAAAGTTAAAATTTTTTTTATTATTTTTCTTATCTTATTTATTTTTTCTAACAGTAACAACAAATTGAAATCCATAAAAATATATATAGGTGGAAAGTAATAAGCTTACCAAATGACTCTTTCACAGATCTGGCTCTACTGCTGAAGCTGATAATGCATTGAAGACTCGTACGTGCAGAAAGATTCTTCTTAGGTTTTGATGAGTTTGAGGTTTCTAAATTCTCTACCAAATGACTCGAATTTCTTTTCTTCCTCACATATATAGCAGAGTCAGAGGACTGGTGGCAAGAGTTGGAAACTGATCGAAAGCGATCCCAACAATCCTTAATTAAACTGTGCCATTGTCTTAAATATTTAACCCTTGTATTACTATATTTAGAGTAGTAAACGTACTTCTTTTGAGGTTCAACACATTTTTCTCCATTAGTCGTCCTTTTTAAGACTTGATAATAGAGTAACTAGCTAGTACTACTTTCACCACGATGAATCTGTCAGGTCTTGTATTCATTGAGCAGTGGCATGCTTTCGAGTTTAGCAGCTAATAAAATGTTAAGTAAAAGGCTTCTTAAATGCTCCATATTGCATGGCCAATGTTGAAACACACACACACCAAAAAAAAAAAAAGGCATAATGTGTGATCAACGTTGAGGAAACCGTAACTTGAATAAAATTCCTTTGCTAGTTCTTTGTTGCATCTATATACAACAAAAAGTTTTCACTTTTGTTGTTTGATTGACTTTGGAATAGTAAAGAACGAAGTAATTTCTGATTTAATGACTACCAGTTTCCCTCAGTATTCATCATATAAAGCAAATAAACCAATCACTAAACCAGTAATCTCGCAAGATTTTATTTTTTTCTTCGTTTGTTGTAACGCTTCATTAACTGGACACAAGGTGAGCCTTTAAGTAGCAACAGATCCTGATTATCTGCCAACAGGACAGAAGCGGCTAAATGCCTCACAAAATTTCAAGATCAAAAGGCCAGTGTCAGTAGGCAGAATTGTTGCTTTTAGAGTTTGCCTGGAGCTCGAGAAATTAATAGAGATTTTTCACCAGACTAAGAAAATCCCAAGTCCAGAACTAGGAATACTGACGGCATGGTGTAGCCCACGACACCTAAAGTAATGATATTCCAATATCTCAACGAGAAAATTTTATGACCATCTATTTTATTTACTCCGACATTTACTCTGAATAAAACAGTCTAATCTTGTCGGCAGAAAGTTAAAATTTGATATTATATATAGATCCTATATATGTTCTTGATGGTTTAACTACAATGAATGCAACAGATAAAAGAAAACTTTTGCACTGATTTTCTTGTTCAAAAAGTCAAAACCATGGATGGTGGTCCAGTTAATTTTGGAGCCAAATATTGCATTCAACCGCAAGGACTTGGCCAAGGTTTCTGCTTAACTGCTTCAACTGAAGCAGCAGCTGCTGAAGTTCGTACATCTAGGCAAATAAATATGGCAATGGGAGCGATAAGTTATTGAGGCATGGGTCCTGCTGCTGTACTGCTGCAGCACCTAACTGCAAGGCCGCCGAATCCATCTGATGCATTCCTTTAATTTCAAGAAGGTGGGCAGCTGCATTATGCCACAACCCAAAAGGTTAATTAGTTTTTGTGTAGATAAGGTACTGCAAAATGATAAATGTCGACTGAAAATAGCTTTGCTCTACTGTTCTATGGCCCCTACCATTTAAGAACATGTGGCCCCTACCATTTAAGAACATGTCAGCAAATAGGCTACAAGATCATGATCTGTTTTATGTGGGAAGTACGAAGAAAAACAACTTACATTCCCCTTTTTATCACTTCTACTTGATTGGCATCGCTGTACTCAAACATTCCTGTTTCATTTCAACTACAGTTGTTCCATATGATTCTCCCCCCACTTGATCATATCCCTAGGCATTGGAATGCTAATTTTTGTGCAAATCATTAAGTGCAGCACTAGTACATATTCTCATTTTTTGAGTTGAGAGAATTGAAATGATTCATTTTCTTCAAACAAATCATGGTAAGTGATTTATATTAATATATATATATATGTATATATATACATATGATTTCAATTTGTACGATAATTTTAAATTAATGCGATCCTTCTTAAACACAGGTTTGATGACATTGCATAGAAAAATTATATAACTTGCCACATGGATTAGGAGCTTTCACTTCTTTTCTTCTATATGTTGAAGTTTTATCATTTTCCAATATGAAAGCGAAATACATACATATATATATATGTATGTACTAGTACTAATTTTATATCGTTTTGTATAATCTGGGTCCATAGTCCAAGGAAGGAAAATAGCAGGCCCAAAAAATGAGCCCAGGATATTAATGGGAAGCCGAACCGGTAGCTAGAGTAAATGCAAATCTGGTGTTGCCTCTGCGCTCCCTCATTGGAGAAGCTTAACCGTTTACCGTTTCTCTCACAAAGAACCGTTAAATCCTTTTATTTTTGTTCTCTAAGGCATTCTCATTACCAAATCATTGCATTCTTTTATATCAGATCCATTCTTAACCCTTTGATTTGATCCTAAACAAAGGGTGCAGGGGAGCCTCTGAATTCCTTTTATAGCTGGTGAGTGCAAAGAAACACCATCTCTTGGGCCTTAATTTTGTATATTTATGCGTTTAGGACTTTGATTTGTCTCAGTTATTACTAATTTGGTTTCTCGTTTTCTTGTTTCTGGTTCATTTGTCAATGTCGATTTCTCAATCACATTTTTTTGTTTTTTATAACAATTTATTTTGTATGCTATTGCTAATAATTATTTCGTTTAGTGATTCTATGCGGAATTAATTACATTATAATTTCGCCCATGTAATGCTTAAATTAGTTTTTTTTTTTTAACTGACTTTACGATTTTAAAGTTTGATTGTATCGAAATCGAATTTTGTATCTCTATATGGTTAATTCATTTGGCTATTCGAGACTTAATTAGAATGGTTTGGTGCTATTGGGTCTTTTTATATGGCAAGACGAGTTAAAAAGCGGTTCAATATCTGAACTTGGTTGACTCAATTGTTCCAGTGTTTGAGTCCACTGCAAATTATTGAATTGATGGTAGTTTGCTTGGTGATTCAGTTTCTAATCTAATCTCATTGATGGGAAACTAAGTGTAGATACGTCCTATTTGATCTCACTTTTTCACGATTCAGATACTGTACTTTGTGTTCAAGAGCGTATCTTACTTTCTTATTCTTTGATTGTTGAAATTGACTTACTTGGGTTTACAGTTTATTTTGTAGTCAGGGTTCACTAGTTTTTCCAATCAGGGTTTCTTTGTTTCAGTGAAGTTTTATTAGCTGTTTACATGGGGGTAAAATTTTTCAATCTGTAATTTTAACTCTTCAAAAGACTATCCTATAAAGAAATAAATTAAAGAAAAAAAAAGAAAACCTTGTAAAGACTGAGTTTTCAGCATCTTTAATAATTAAGACAAAGAATCAGACAGAAAACCTTATTAACAGAGCCCCACATTTAAAAGTGAAAGTACGAGGCTTACCTTACATATGAAGTTCTATGATGTTTCTACATTGTGGTCCTGAGGTCACATTCAAAAGCAATTCCATTGAATTATTATATGTTATCTTTTAAAGTCTAGTTCATGGTTCATGCCAAGCATCTTCCATTGCAGTTAAAGATGATCTGTTACGCATGATTGATTTCTTGAATGTCTTCATAGCCATGGAAATGTTGTTCAAAGAGCCATATCAGTTCTTGGCCTTCCGATTCTGGGCTCTAGTTTTTGTTATTTAATGTGACTTATAACTGTAAATTTTAAAGCTTATACGAAAACAAATGTGATGTTTTACTGGTTAGGGGCAAAATGGAACGTAGGAATCTTAGGTGCACTATTTTTTGGGATAAATGCATCTGTCTTGTTGTGTGAGATGTGTTTTTAGTTCCATTCACATTATTCACATATTGTATTAAGTCTTGCTTGAGACTTTTAATTTGGCATCTATGAGGTTTTCTGGTATCCTCTAAAGTAGTAATTTGTTATGAAAATGTATTTTGCACAAATTATCTGACATTTATCATATGTCCTCATTTTGAGCTTCAAAGATCTAAGTGGTAGAGGGAGCTTAAGTGGGATTTCATGAGTCAGGTGAGGTGGAAGCAAGTTCAAAGGAGGGATCAAGGTACCATTCATTGTCTTCTAAGGATTATATGTCTAAACCCTTAATGAGTAGCATATCACTTGTTTCACTTAATCAGTTAACTATTTTATATTTTAAAATTCAGATAAAAAAATTTACTTATCTTGGATATTTTAGCAGGACACAGTTATTTTACGCTAAACCATAACAATTTATATATATATATTTAGTGCTGATTGATTATATGTGAGGATCCTCCTCTTCTGAATAGTCATTGGAATCAGTTGTAGCATTGGCTAATGGTTTTAGCATTTCCCTCTATTTTGTGTTGTCTCTGCAGGGAACTTAACATATTCACTAGGAAGGAGATTAGGACTTAACTCATAGAACATTCAGGATATATTTGCCTACATTGCAGGATGAAGAGAGTGGATTAGAAGTTCGTTTGTTTTATTCAATTAACCCAATATTTGCTTCACAAGATAAGCATTTTCTCTGATTCTGCATATAAGCAATTGCTCAGTGGAACTTTTGTACTTTTTATACCTTCCCTGCCTAACAAGTTTCCTTTTCCAGCTGCCATTTTTCTTTTCTTTTGTCTAAATTCATTTCTGTTCTTGAATAGGATAAAGTTGGCGTTTCTAGGTGATAATTCTACTCCTAGAAAAGAACCTGAATGCTGAATGCTGTTCATTGTTGATATGGTTCTATAGAGTGACAATCCTTGGTAGGTTGGAAAATGGCTTTTGTTTGTGAGGAAGAGAAAACTGAGGATTACCTTTTCAAGATTGTATTGATTGGTGATTCAGCTGTTGGGAAATCGAATTTACTTGCAAGATTCGCTAGGGATGAGTTCTACCCTAATTCAAAATCAACCATAGGAGTAGAGTTTCAAACCCAGAAGATGGATATAAATGGAAAGGAAATTAAGGCACAAATCTGGGATACGGCTGGTCAGGAGCGCTTCAGGGCTGTTACATCTGCATATTACCGAGGTGCAGTTGGAGCTCTCCTTGTGTATGACATCAGTAGACGACAGACTTTTGATAGCATTAGCAGATGGCTAAATGAACTTCACGGTAAGAACCATGGCGATCTTTTCTTTTCTTGATTACACTTGTGATGCATGCGGAAACCTTCTCAGTGTGGATATGATTTCTATGATTTATCAAAATTCACCAGTTCAAAATGGGTCTAATATTATCCTGGTTTCAAAGTGTCTGTTTGCGATATTATGGCAATTCCTAGTAACTAGATAGTGTTTCTTTTCCATTGCCTTTCTTGCCTATATTATAGATTACGGTAAATTTAAGTCATATTGGCTTTTTTTTTTTGCCCTTGATGGCTCTCGTGTGTCATTTTGAACAGCTCACTCTGACATGAATGCAGTCACCATTTTAGTGGGCAACAAGTTGGATCTCAGGGATGCCAGGGAAGTATCCACTGCAGAAGGAAAGGCCCTGGCAGAGGCACAGGGTTTGTTTTTTATGGAGACTTCTGCCCTTGATTCCTTCAATGTGGCAGCTGCGTTTCAGACAGTTGTTAAAGAGATCTACAACATATTGAGCCGGAAAGTTATGATATCTCATGAGCTCAAGAAGCAGGATACTTCATTGAATGGGCCGACTGTTGTTTTACAGGGGGATGAGAACCAACAATCTGGTACAGAGGATAAAAAGGGCGGGTGCTGTTGATCCTAACTCTTCAGGAAAAACGATCCTCTGCTCCAGTCCATTTTCTGGCTCTCCGCCTGAAGTACCCACTGATGTTCCTGATATATCTTCTTCTACATGTGTTCATTTCTTGATGCCATTAAAAAGTTTATTTGAATAACATTTGTTTTGTTACATGCTCTTGGTTATCTTATGGTGGCTGAAGAAGAGCCTTTATGCAGTAGCAAATGTAAATGAACTCAAGGGGGAATTGAAAGGGAAAAAAAAAATTAGGTGATATTATGTATGTATATTCGAATGTCAGCAAGCTTCCACCGTTTTGTTTGGTCGTGCGTATACTCAAATGTTCGACATGTTGCAGTTGAAGGCTTTGATTTCTTGCTTTCCGCCTCCCCGTTCTGTCTTCCCTGGGGGGCCAACAACACCCTTTTGAACTTGTATCTATATCTATACATATCAAAGTGTTGTGATCATGCATAACAACATCTGTAATTGAAATCAAAGCACCTCTAAAAGTCACTCTCAGTGACTGCGTGTGCTAAGCATCCTATAAACATCCTTTTAGTGCCAACTAACATTGTTTTTGTTCACAATGCTCTCTCTGGTCATCCCCGGGAACTTGCTTCTTTGCCACAACTTTCAAACAAAAACATTAATATTCAAGAAAAACTTTTAAAAATCTGGAACGGAAGCCATACAGCAAATCAAAACCAAATTGCAGGCTTTTGTTGTTAAACCCAGTTGCTGGCTGAATGTGAGCTCTGTACAATGTGAGAAAACCTTGTTTATACTAAGGAAATATTGGCACCACCCAATCGTGCAATTGAAGACGATTCTGAGAAGATCTCTGTACGCTCAGCTCAGATGCTGAAACACAGGTACTTATTGCCTAAACTTTAAACTGCAAGAAAAAGCGAAACAATTTTCTTTTATGAAAAAACAAAAAAAAAAACAGAGAGGGAGAGAGTCTAAAGCATTATGATTTAAAAGGGCCTCAGAATTAAAGAATGACAACAAGGCTTAAGAAGCCATTCAGTCCCGAAAGATGGTATTTTGTAAATGGTTTCCTCATCGGCCACATTTTTAGAGCATTCAACAAACTTAAATATGAAATTAATATGCCAAAAAAAAAAGAGAAAAGAAAAACTATGTAAGTCTCATGGCCAATCCCAAGAAGTAAAAGCAGCAACGCCGCTCCACAAGGCAATGGAATATGAGACTGCCGTCGACGGAGGAGCTCCCCGGAAGGAGGACCATCAACGTCGCCGTACATTTTTATATGACGTTATCTTTGGAATATACAAACATAATTCATTGGTTTGCCCCAAAACAGAAAGGGATTTCGATCCCCCGTCACACTCTTATTAGGATCAGTACAAAGAAAATCAAAGTTTAGAGAAATTACAAAATCTAAAAAAGCAAAGGTTAGAATTAAATGTACGTCTCATGGCCAGTCCCAGGAGGTAAAAGCAGCGAAGCTGCTCCCCAAGGCGATGGAATATGAGACAGCCAATCGACGGAGGAGCTCCCAGGAGAGAGGACCGTCAACGTCAACGAGCGTTTATGTGACGTTTTCTTCGAGATATACAAACAAAATCCGGTTTGCCCCACTTCACAGATGAGGATTTCAAATCCCCCGTCACATTAGATCAAACACCAAAAGTCTAAAAAAAAAAAAAAAGAAATCAAATAATATTAAAGGAATTAAATTCACGAAAGACTAGATTTTGAAACTCTAACTGGAGATGGATCAACATGAAAACAAACCAGTTAGTTTTTTTTTACCTTCAACATAGATGAACATAAATCTAGATAAATCTAAGCTAACGTGTTCAGAAACAATCTTAGCTTAGGAATTTACCAGGTCGGCGGTGAAAGCTCTATTCTAGAGTTAATTTATAGCATACGTAATGACGAAAGGTGCCGTTGGATTTGCATCTGATGGCTATAAATGTGTAGTGGCCGCCGCCCAATTTTGATGCTAGGCTAGGGTTTGCATAACAATATATTGATGGGCCGTCCAGGCCCAACTGAAAAGACCGACGGCTTATGTTGTGCAAACTTTGCGACTTTGCATATCTATATCGTTAATGGCTATGAGGTCGCTAGAAAATTGGAATTCGAGGGAAAAGTAAATTGATAATAATGTGAGAAATTGAAACCGAAATGAAAATATCGAATGCCATTTTTCCTTCAACATAACCAAAAATATGTTTATTTAGTGTCAACAATGGGAATGAAAAGTTATACTAATTCTTTGGCACAAGACACTATTGATTTGCTCAAACAAAGCTCCATGATGATTCATAAGTTGAATGTACGATGCAATGAATTGAGGAGGGTGCACAATTAAGAAATGAAGAGTAAAAAATTAAAAATAAAATCTAAATTGTAGGATTTGCAAAGAGGGTCAAAATCCTCTTCTCATCATCATGCAATTCTATTCTAAACATCCCTGACCCTTATCCACCAAGTTGTCTACATCTCTGATGCTCCTCTCCTATTGCAATCATCCTTTTTCTCCACCCTGCACTCTTACGGAAGAACAAATATGAAAAACAAAAAAAGGTTTAGTTCAATGCTCCCGTATAATTGTCATGCATTATTAGGTTTTGGTCTCTGAATTACAACTAAAGAGACAAAAGGGAAAAAGATACAAATCTTCTAGCAGCTAATACATATAGGTGTGTATATATATGTGTGTGTACAGACACAAGTATGAGAACCAAAAAGGAAGACAAAAGGAAAAGCCTATTTGAAAGTAGCTTACCCAATTCCTTAAACCATTATTGCTAACAACTTTAGTTTCAGACAAAAATTTCATCCTTTTCAATTACATAACAAGACTACAGACAAAAAGTTTTGATGTCACCAGTTGAATATGCAATGCAATAGCAAAAGAATATCAACTACATGATAGAGACTCTGAAAGAATTAACTAGTGTAATAAACTTACAAATCTTCAACTGAAAAAATCTGGGGAGGAGCCAATCAAAATGTATATGCGACTAATTAAAGTGGCTGTCTGTCTTCAGCAGTATAACATAGATGTTCATCCTAAACATAATAGCAAAGACTTGTCATTATTCTTCTCAGAAGATCCTCCTGCTGAACTGACTAAATTGCATCATAAAAGCAACCATTAGTTGATCCTATATGCCACCAAAAATTTTAATTTGTTAAAATCATCATCATCAACTCTAAGGTTGTTAAACTGTTTAAACGTTCATACATTATGACTTATCAAATAAGTTTCTCCCTAACGTAATGTTTGGATAAATATTAATAAAGGAAAAGAAAGGAAAGGAAAAGAAAGTTTTTTAAAAGAAAGGAAAAGATATATATATATATCCCTTATTTGGATAATTAAAATTAATAAAGGAAAGGAAAGGAAAAGAATTCTAACAACCATTGTTTGCATAAAGAGTGAAAAAGAAAAGAAATGATTCATTATAATAAATTTTTTCAATTATAACTTTTCATTGCCTGTGATTTTAGAGTACTTCTAAACTATGATATGTTTGCTATCTTGTCTGGCCTCAAAATTGCTACTATATCAATGATTTTTAATCAAGTGAAACAAAAAAATATTTTACAAATATGCATTTATGGATTTTTTTTGCCATTGTCAAAATTTCAACACACTATCACTTTGGCGATGTATTCATATAAAGCTATTAAATATAAAAAATGCAATCACATAAAAACATTACATACAAACAAATTATATGTCCTTTTTGCACCAAACAAAAAGTAATAATATATTACCATATATTTGTCCAACATAAATTTATTTTATCAAAAAGAGATGGCTTTGAAAAAATTAAAGAAAGATTGTGATGTGGTTTGATTTTTTTGACTAAGTTTTTAGTATTAATAAAAAGATGGATAAAACAATCTTTTTATAAAAATAAAATTTTTTCAACTTTCCTTTCCTTAGTTTTTCTCCCAAATTGGGGTATTAAAAAAGTGAGGATTACAAGGAAAAACAAAAGTTATTGAGTTTTCACCTCTTTCTTTTCCTTTAAATTAAAAGTTTATCCAAACAAAGGAAAGGTTTTTCTGTTTCCATTACTTTCCTTTATTTGCCTTTCATTTCCTTCCCCTCCCCTCAATCCAAACATACTATAAAGCAGACTCTTTCAGCTACACTAAAGATTGCATAATGAATTCTAATTCATAGAAAGCAAAACCTTTTAGCAAAGGACGATGAACATTGAGTTACATGTACAAACCAAAGAATATACATATACACTCTTACCTTCTGTTATGCTTTGATGGCTTGGACTAATATTCTCTTGCACAGCAGGATTTAGTGCCCGAGCAAGGCGTTTAATACGATTTAATCGCAATCCTTTCGATATTAAACCTGAACAACAAATTTTTTATATGCAAACATATCATCTGAAAGTAGGCAGTTCATTAATAACATCAGCAAAGATATATCAATACAAACTGAGTTTTTCCTTAAAACTTAATGAATACTAGGTTCCAATGGTATATCAATCACATCATCAACATCTATAGTCATCTGATACAAACTGAGATGAATCCTTAAACTTACAATTGGAAGTTCCATTTTCCTCCATCATCTCACCCATTGCAACCCCATTGCCCACAGGATCATTTATTGCTCGTGCCAGATGTTTGATGCGATTCAAGCGTACCTTTCCAGTTAAAATAGCTAGCTTATGAGCGGGGATTTCCAAACCTGTTGAGTAAAAAGTTACAAGGAACCAGTGAGAAGTGAGAACGTAAGAAAGAGTTTTTCCTTTAAGACATCACAACCATTAATGTTAATGGTAAAGTAATAGGAGCTGACTCTGGGAGCTTCTTGTGTCCAGCATTAGTCTTTGTTGTCCATGATTGGATCGGACAGGAGCAGAAACAGCATTAAACTGAGGACTAACATCTGAAACACAAGTTACGGTATTGCTCAAAGGCAATTGAATTGGAGGTGGCGGAGGATTTAATCGAGCAGTTTCAGCTCTCTGTCTCCGCAATTGATAGTTTCGTCGGCGTCTAGCCAGATGCTTTTCTCTTTCCTCAAGGCTCATAGACTGCCTTCTTTGCCTGTCCCTTATACGACGACGTTCTCTCTCTAGCTCCTTTCGCAACTCTAGTCTGCTTGCTAAGCCTTCCATCATTATTCCCCAAATCACAATTTTAAATTTACTGGATTTTTCTTCAAAACAAATTTCAAAAAATTTAGCGTTAATTCTTTTGTTTTGAAAATTCTGAAGGGAATAACAACACAAGTTATTTCAAAATCTTATTTAAATAAATGTTGATAGAAATAAGAAAAAGATGATTACATTGAGAGAGCTAAACCTAATGATTAAGCCGCCATTAAATCACGGTTTTCCATCAAAAAGCTGCGAACTTTCCTGATCCCAGGAATGGAGTAGCCCTTAAATTCAAATGATAAAAAATAAAAATACCAATTGAAACGAAAATCTAACCTGGACGGTGGACTTATCGTAGGAAGAAGAGAAATCTGGAAAACAAACAAAGGATCATAGACGAAGACAAAGGTAAGAACGTAAATGGAAATTAAATCAGCGATTTTATTTATTTATTTTTATCATATTTTGGGCTAACTGCTCCTATTCTGCGTCTAATCAGCCCGTTTTGCCTTGGTGGTTGTTTTGGGTCCGAAATCATTAGACGCAAAAAGTGGAATGCGTTTCACCAGCCAAAAGCAAGAAACGACGTCGAATGAAGGAAAAAAAAAGGTTCAGCAAGAAACATAACGTCCAAACAAAACCCTAAGCCCCAAAGGCAAAGAAACAGAAGGTCCAGTTCTCTCCGACCGAGTTAAACTCAACGATGGAAGCAACAGCAAATATGCAAAACACCCGGGAAAACTCTGCCGATCCTAATCCCCAGCATCTCTCGAAAAACGCCCAAAAGAAGCTCTTGAAGCAACAGAAATTTGAGGCTAAGAAAGCAGAGAAGAAAGCTCTGATGAAAGAGCAAAAACAGAGGGCTGCAGAGAGGAAGCGAAAAGAATGGGAGGAGAAACTGGCTGGCCTAACCGAAGACGAGAGGCTGAAACTCATAGATTCAAGGAAAGAAGTGAGGAGAGAAAGAATGGAGAAAAGATCGGAGGAAAGAGGTGAGAAAATCCAGAGACTGACAAAGGCCAAAGAGAATGGCCAAAACATTGTCGTCGATCTTGAATTCTCTCATCTCATGACTCACTCTGAGATCCACAGCCTCGTTCAACAGGTTGTCTTTTTTAGTAACTGATTGATTACTGTTAAAACTTTTCATATCTTTTTTTTTTTTTTTAATTTGAGCGTGGCTTATTTGCCTTGCTCTTAGTTGCACTTCTCTTTGAATCTTAGCCAATGATTAAAGGTTGTTCTTTTGTTCAATCCTTGTTCCTATGTTTCATTTCATAAATACTAATTCTTATGTTGTTGCTGAACCCTGCAGATTATGTATTGCTATGCAGTGAATGGAAGATGTAGTTTTCCTGCTCACCTCTGGTTGACCGGATGCCATGGGGAAATGGAAACTCAATTGCAAAGGCTCCCTGGATTTGATAAATGGATTATTGAGAAGGAAAAACAATCCTATATCCAAGCGTTTTCTGATCAGAAAGATAACTTGGTGTACCTCACAGCAGATTCTGAAACTGTGCTACATGAACTTGAGCCCACCAAAGTTTATATTGTTGGCGGTTTGGTGGATAGAAATCGGTGGAAAGGTATAACAATGAAGAAAGCAGAGGAGCAGGGAATTCATACAGCAAAACTTCCAATTGGAACTTATATGAAAATGTCCTCTTCTCAGGTATGCTTGGTCATAGTTTGCTACACGATTTCACTTGCTTCTTTAGGTCTTCTATCTATATAAATATACCTCTTTCAGATGAATCTGTTGGTATCATTGTTGGTGTATTGTTATCTCCATTTTTTTTAATGCAATCATCATGTTCTTCGCCTTTGATTTGTCATTTTATTAGTTGCGAGCAAAAGGCATCAGTTAGCCTCGCTCGAGTCTCTTGGGGTTGAATCCTGCAAACTAATTTTGAAGAATGAATAGCTTCATAATTGCATGCTATAGCTATACTACTTTATTTGGAAGCAGCCTAGGATGCAGTGCGTGGACAGTTTGTGGTGATAATCATGCTTGGTAGTTCACTGACGCAAAAGGCTAATTTTCAAACAAACAAATAAAGAAGCAAATGTTTATTTGCATTTCTAAGTTTTTCGTTTCTAATAAACATTTTCATTCCTATGAGTGCAGGTCCTTACTGTAAACCAAGTTGTAGAGATATTCCTCAAGTTCTTGGAGACAAGAGATTGGCAAGCTTCCTTCTTTCAAGTAATTCCTCAGAGGAAAAGGTTTGAAGCTGATTCAGAAAACTGCCAAGAAGCGGATTGGGAAAAGTGCAAGGAGGAAAATGAGGAATCTGAGAGGAAAAAGAAGTGCATTGAAGTACTTTCTCATGACTAGAAGAGCTTACAGAATTTTTGCTTATCCATCTCCCATTACATGGAACGCCTGTACTAGTGGAAAATCATTACATGAAAATTGATTGGTTTTGAAGTTTCATTCTTTGCCTCCATGTGCCTATGGTGCTTCATGCATTCCAAACTTAAATTGAACCTGTAGAAAAATAGTCTTGTGGATGCCCACGATTTTGCTTATTCTTGAAAATTCAGTTCTACTGAGACCATTAGCGTGAAAAGTCCCTCCTAGATTTATAAATTTCTGAATCATAATAGCTATAGAATTTTTTTCTTTTTTTTTTTTTTAAGTAAAAATTTCTGCTTACACAAAACCTTGGCTTGAATAAGTTAAAACAAGAAAGATTCCCACAATAATACCAAAGAAAGAAGGTATTATTGATGATTCCCATAATAATACCAAAGAAAGAAGGTATTATAGATAGAGTTGCAGTCCTCGCCTAACTTAACAAAATTGGTAAGTTTTTTTTTTTTTTTTTGGTTTCCTTGTGTTATTCAAGTTGTCTTGTTATATCCTAATGAACAATGGTTATCTAATCTCTATAGCGGCACGTTTTGTTTAGTGGATGAAATTTGATTGGTAAGTTGCTGCCGGATGACTTTCTCTTTTCCATTTTCTTCTCCAAGAGGCAGGGGGAACTATCATCTTATCCCTTAATAGATGGAAGGATTTGGTGGGATTGGAATTTGAAGAGTCACAGCTGATGTTAGCTGTGTTTTAAGGAGGTAGTGGTCAACTCATTTGACGTTGAAAAAGCATAGGTTTCTGTCCAAACTCAAGTCTCAAATTACAAACAAATTAATTCACTGATTGGTGTGAGTCAATGTTGAAAGGCGAAAATGATAGAAGATTAAATGTGCTGGAATGGAACTCAAACCCATTATCGTTTCACTCCCAGATGCAGAATGCGGATATAGATTGAAATTTTTGCAATTTGCCTAAAGCTATCTAAAGAAAGCTAAGCTCATATTCTATAAATTTACCTGACACTAAAGGCCCCAATGCTTTCACCTATTTGGGCAGAATTTACTTAATCCATGGAGTAATCACTATGAGGCCTTCACCTCCATGCGGAAGAGGTTGCCATCGCTCTGTTTACCCACCCAAGATAGAGAGCCCCTTCTCTCTCTTCAAGTCTATAGTTTTTGTCGTACTCCCTCAGCAGATCTCTTACAGCCATAGTAACTGAGGAACTCAATGGGTATGGAGAAAAACCAGCCATCATAAATCTTGACCTCCACTTTCCGTGAAGTTCGTGCCTTTCCACCCTCTCAGGCCCCTCACAGGCAATCATATTCACAATATCGCGAGCCACACAATTCTGCTCTGCTCTGATCCTTTGTTGGTCATCTCTTGGACAAGCTACATCTATGGATTCGAACATAGCTGTGTAATAATCCAATGTCTCAAGGTACCTTGAAAAGAATGGGGATGTGTTGGTATTAGACTCTTGCTCAACAAGAGTCAAAACCTTGGGTGACAAACTTTTCACCAACCTCAAAAGTCTATCTCTGTGATTCCAGATGCTTACACTCTCATCTGGCATGTGATGCAATACATATGGAAAATTCACAGCTAGGGCTTCTCCAGGTTGAACCTTAAGATGCTCTACTTGAATCTCACAACCAGACATAGCAGCATCATGAAACTCAAATGGCACATTGTATGACTCAGCAAATTCTGATAGCTTTCGCCCCACAATATTAAGTCCCCCACCTCGAGCATGATTTGACTGAGAATCATCAACACCAGTAAGGCGGATAGACGGGGGCCCACCAGGGCGTTTTGCAAGAGCTGCAATAAGGAGCATCCACTGGGTGCCCTGTGCTATTTGGAAATCAATGATGTGAACTTTTGGTTCATATTCCATGACTTCCTTGATGACAACGTTAGCTGATGTGTATGCAAACTTCCAGTATGGGCAGATCCTGAAGAGAATATGCATGTAAGACATTAGTTCTGAGCTTGTTGGTTCTTTGCATTTTAGCGTTTTGTAGATATTACTCCCTGAGGATTCCAACCTCGCTCTGAGCCCTTCCAGCACATAAGCACCCAGTCGTTGGATTGGTTCCCCAGACACTGAAACCATTTTATCCAACACATGCATTAAACCTGCCACAGTCGACGTATCACCGTCATGAAGTGCTTGACCACAGTCAACAAGCACCTGTTTCAAGTCTAATCTAGGAATCATGCCCACCAGTTGATCACAGTTCAAGCTTGCCATTGAAGCAGCTTGGTGGGCTCCACTACTGAAGCAACAATTGCAGCTGTCTATAATATCTGATTCAGGCCCTAACAAGGAAATTTCTAGCTCCCGCAGCTTGTGCTTCAATTCATTGCTATCATCAACAACAGAAGATCCACTGAATGGTGACCCATAAGTATTGTCAAGGGAATGATGAGAATCAGACAGGCATGATTGCGAACCCTGCGGGGAGAAAGGACTCCTGCTTGATGAGATGCTTACAGCAGAAGGCGAATCATAGACAACAAAACCAGCAGTTGCCGTGGATGATTCCAGGGTAAAAAATTGGTCCTTGTAAGTCTGAAAGGAGACACTGGTTCCTTGGCTGCAGATATCTGAACATACATTGTTGTCTAATATCTGCAAATGAGGCAAAGAAAATGGATCAATCTCCTTAACCGGTTGGTGATACAGCCTGTGGATACTGGCTGGGGTTTGATGTTTCTGAGATGTTTGCATCTCAGCCCAAACCGCTTCTCAACTTCCTCTAGAAAACTTTTTGTTCCTGACAGATGTTTGCTGTGACAACAGAATTCCTGATAATAGTAACGCTTTTTTCCCCTAGTAGCGTCAGTTGATTGATTGAGTAAACTCACTCGTTAATTGAGATGAGATTAGATTATGCAAGTCTTCTTATGTGGATAAAACTGATTTGATCTTCAGCATCAATGTTAACCATCAGCTGCTTTAGCTGTTCAAGGCAGAAATATCGAAGAACAATCTGAATCTGCTAAAACAAATCCAAGGGAAAAAAAAAAGAGAATAGATTATGCAACTAATGGAAGCCCAGTGTACACTGTCAAGGGTTGTGAAAAATCAGAGAAAAAAAAAAGCAATAAGCCAATAATCAAAGAAGCCTACAAGGAGAAGGGACATAAGTTTAAGAGGAAGTTTCCTCTAAGCAACTTTGTTTTGAATCAGAAGTTAAATCAACCAAGCACAAGACAACAACCAAAACCATAATCATGTAAAACAATATGTAATAGCTAAAAGACAAAGATTGGATGAGTAGTAACAAAAAGACCCCTAGAATTTCTCTAAAAGAAAAATGCAATTAGAACAGCTTATTATACATAGGGAGCCTCAAAATTCACATATCAAGTTTGGTAGCAACTTAAATCTCCGTCCAATAAAAATCATATAGCAGATGGCAAGACATAAAATTTTACATAAAAATAAATCAGCTTCCAGATTCATAAATCATTTAAATCAGTAGGATAGCAAACAGCTTGAAAGTTGTATCTAATATCTCTATTAAGTTGCTTATAGAAAAACAAAAGATGATTTTTTATTCTTCCCATCTCATCAGAAGGCCAAACCTTCATTTTCTACGGCAACACCAACCAAATGAAAAGGAAACAATAATGATCTAATTCCACAAGCTGTCATCAGAGATGACCACCCAACACAGGAAACAGAAACAGAAGAGAGAAAGAGGGATTGTAATGATGAATCGAAGAGTAGATAGGATAGGGGAGTTGGCATACCCCAGTCGACAATCATCATCTCTTAGGTGTGGTTTTGCTCTGTTTTAGATTCCTCTTCAACAAGCGTCAAACTGTTGTCTGTCTCTTTCCAAAAATAATGGGTTTTCTTGTATTATTGTAATCTCATGGTGAAAGTTACATGGTTATGAAAGTGATAATATAGCAATAAGTGGCCTGGGAATTAGGTTCTATATACAGCAGTGCCGCTGGGAAAAATCTTAGTTGAGCCGTTAAAATTGTTGCCGCTTACTGACGAAAATAGCCTTGAGTCGCTTTGCTCGCAGTGAGTGAGCTTGAAACATATTCTTTATTCTTTGCTTTGATTTAATGGATATATATATATATATATATATATATATATACTTTGATGGGTTAATATTTTGGTCCACGCTGATTGATTTTTGGTTAGGACGTCACTTCTTAGGTCTTCTGCTAACATTTTTATCTTCAATTGTCTTTAATTTGCTTCTCTTCATTAGTTTAATAGTAATTAATTTATGACTATATATTATGTGCTTTTTTTTTTATCAATAATAGCGATTATGGATTTCAAGATATGGTAGTGGAAATTAGTACTGAATCCTTGCTTGCTTGCATTAATTAATGTAAAACAATATATATATATATTAATTTATATATAAATGTTTCTGAGTTGGTGACCAATCTTTAGTTTCCTTCATTTATAGAAGCTCACCTCTTTTAACAAAAATAATTAATAAAGTTTTTTTTTTTAACATTTACACCTTTAATTTTAATTATAACAGGTCCAAAGCAAGAAGATTAAAATTGCATGGCAATTATCAACCATCTTTGGAAAATTAAAAATTAAAGTATAGGATAGCTTTGTATATATCAACCACTATAAATATAGAAATATGTGTCAAATTAAAGTATAACACTTTTAAAAACTAATAATAATAATAGTCAAAATGTATATATTAAGAAAGCAAAAGTATAACAAAAAAATAAATTTAGTAAAAGGCGGCTCCCATGCATTTGAATTTGGTCAAATAACAATATCTTCAAACTTATTTGGGAGTAGATGGGATGAGCCTTAACAAACATTAAAATAACCATTGAATGGACTAACGTATCATTTTTTTTTCATAAATTAATATCCAATTTGTTACAAATTAGATACATTACTTATATATATAAATTAATTTGAGTTTTTATCAAATCACATACTAAGTTAGATGCAAATTAAAAAAAATTTTTAATTTTACATATTAAATACTTTTTAGATTCTTAATTTAGGGTTTACATGTATTTAATTTTTTTATCATGGTTAATCAAATAAAACTTTAAAAATTCAGTTAGGTTACATTTAGTAACTTAGATTTAAAAGAAAGGATTTGAATTTTAAAATTAGTGTAAATTATTTAAAAGAACACATTGTAAATAGACAGATGTGATTATTGTAACGAAAAAATAGACAGGAAATTAGTGGTAATAGGGGTAGGAAGGATGTAGGTGGCAAACTGGAAAACGCGTTAACTGTAATATAACCGTTAAGACCAGATTTGACAGACAGCTGAATCAACAAAAACCATGGGCAGCCGCTTTCGGACACGGTTTCATTTTAGATAAAGACGGAGAGGTTAAATGGCACTTGCGTAGATTAATACAATAATGAGGGCGTTTTTGCGTGGAAGCTTGGCACTTGGTAGGTCTCTTCCATTCCCCGAAGCAACCCAGCTTTTTGAAACATTTTTTTTTTTTTTTAAACCTAAAAAATATTTCAATTGTGTAATGATGCAAATGGCAGCTTCCTCTAGTTCCTTCAATAATCATCTATAGACCATAATCAAAATTGATGGGGAATGCGAATTCAAGACATGCGATGCGACCTCTTCCAAATATAAATTATATAATAATGATTCACAACTTTCAAAATCACATAAATACAAATATACAAGATTTTGAAATCAAATATTTTAAAATGAATGAATCAGAAAATAGTAGCTATATATATATATATGTATACATATATATATTTCATCATCTAATCCAAGATTTAATAGTAGTTATATCCTATAAATGTGGATGTTATTATAAACAAAGTTGTGGCAAGAATAGTTGCACATGCTGTGTTTAGTGTTAACAATATTGCATTTGAAAATTTTTTCAATTAGACAAAAAAATAATGATTATGCCTGTCATATAATATTGATCTTACAATCTTACCAACTAAAAGTCCAAAGCATGTATGCCTGTGGAGTGGTCTGCCAAAGAAAAAAAAAAAAGAAAGAAAGAAAATATATATATGAGAGACCAGAGTACAATTTGAATGTACAGAGTTGAAAAACTAGGGTTTTGAGCGTAAAAGTGTGCACTAGCTGGTTTACTACCAATATCGGTTACTTTGGGTACATATTTTTATACATGGAAGATTTGATATTGATATTGATAACCAACAACTGATTAGAAAAGGAGAATCTTGGTTCCTTTTATTGTGTATGTATCTGCTTTAAACATAAGGCAACTGATGAATGGCCCACTTTTCTTATCTTCAAATACCTCAGCATGAGATGGAAGTATCAGAAAAAGAGAGTAGCTAAACAAAAGTTACGAGCAGCTTGGCGATTGAGATGATGATGAATAATTAAAGGAACCGACTCTAACCTTGGCTGCATCTTTGGGCGGTGCTCTGAAGCCTTCCCTGCAGTTGTTGTGTAAAGGTGTCGGCAACAGAATTTTATGACAAAATCAACATATATAGGTGCAGAGGAGGCAATCCCATTTACCCAATTGGAAGGAAAATATGCATATATTCCCAATATCACAATATAAATAGATAGTTCATCGTTAATTAGATCAACTGAGTTACAAATCATATCAGAAGATGAGAATAATTCCGCAGTTCCATGGTAGGAGTACTATTGGATTCCAATCAGAGGGACTGTTTCACCTACCACACACATAATTAAATGGGTATTTGTTTTTTTGGCCAAACCATAGGTAATCAAGTAGACAAGACAACCAACAAATGGCGTCAGCAATATGGGACCTACACAACTCATATCTGCCTGCGTCATGTGGGGGACTTAATCAACAGTAGTATTCTAATTAGCCTATGACTGAACGAGGATTAAACTTTAAAGAGCACAACAAAACAAAAGCAAATTATCTCTTGATTTTTTCAAGTTTTGTCCTCGTCTTCCCAGCCCAAAACAAAAGTTTTTCCTTCTCAAATGCATGGGATGGGATTTGGAACCCATGTGACAATTTTTGTTTGTACCATTTTGGTCTCTTTACTCTTTAGTGGCTTTTTTTTTTTTAAACCCTATGGGGCTGCGTGTGGAATAACCTCTCCTTTCTGCCAATGCATGAAATACAGGCCATATCTCAAAAAGTAGCTTCAGAAACACATGCTGTTGGGATGAGGTTAGTAATAGTAGCTCCAGAAACACAAACTGGTGGGATGGGGTCACTAAATTATTTCATCAGAATCGAAAAGAAAAGGGGCAGAAAAATTGAATCCAACAGAGGAGAGCAGAGCTGCACTGGATGAATTTTAATAGAATGGCTTTGAATCGTTCCTGGCTGAACGTCAATGACTCAACCACCACGTAGCCACCCTCCCTAAGCAGTGCACTCTCTAGAGAAGTAGAGGAGGAAAATTCAGAAACACAAGTACACTTCTTTTTCCTTTCTTTTTGGGGAAAGGGAGGTTATCTCGCTGCCTGACTGACTGCCTGTCAGGTAGTAAAGAAAAGTTCCAAGCTCAGCTAAACGACCTGCACCTGCCACTTTACACAAATTGGGCTCCTTGTTCAGCCCATTTTCCAGGTTAAAGTTGTCAGCGACCGTTGTACTATGATAGAATACAGATGTTAGAAAAGAATTTTCCTTACAACCTTTAGATCAGGATCCGATTCAGGATTTTGTTTGAAAAGGTTCTGGATGTCAAAAATGCTCCTATGCTCAGCCTTCGCATCCTGGTTCAAAGAGGAAAGCACATTGAAAGTGCAATCATGTTTAGGAAATTCATGTTTCTTCTACTTCTTACTTCCTACGTTAGGCCTCCCCGGCGAAGCACTTGCAGTTAGCAAGCTGCTATGGCACGTATTTGGCACGGTCTGACCGTTACCATTGTTGGAATATTTCAGTCCTTTCTCGAAACACAAGGACTACCAAATTAACCAGGCGCTTGAGCTAAGAGATCAACAAATTGAGTTGCTGAAGCGCCATGACAAGGCCTTTTTTGCCTCATCTTCTGGATATCTAATTCCCCTAATGCACTTGCTGTTCTGTTTGCCCTAAGTTGAAGCATTTCCTTTTCCAGTTAGAAACATAAATTTGAAAATTTTTTATGTTTCCATTAATGGGTACATGGAACCCACAGAGTAACTGTTTTTATGATTAAAAACATTTTGTAGTCTTCATCAAAAGAAAGAAAGAAAGAAAGAAAGAAGCACCTTATATCGTGAATGGCTACCCTGCCCAAATAGGAAGCAACTTGTTTTAGTCTCTCCCTCTGTGTAAACACATAAATGACACAATACATGACACAACAAGTGTAACCAGCCCACGGTGTTTAAGACCATAAAGTTGAGAAAATTAATCATCAGAAATCAATCTCCTCGAATGCCAACAACTAAAACCATCAAATGATGCAAACCTTGATATTCATGCTAATATCTTTAAGTCTAGTAAGGGTACCCCTCTTTTACAGGGTGGCCTGTCTTGCATGCCTTGTATTGAATCCTGATTCTATCTTCCATGGGGGATATGCCATTGATTTTCAAACAAAGGTTCCAAACATAATTAATATTACTAAAACCTATAGTCCCCCAAATTCTACTATATCAAATGCTTTTCAGTGCAACGTGAAATGAGGATGAATGTTTTTCTCTAAAGAGAAGACTTGAGCTTCATCAAGATTTTGAGATATATGTTTTCCACTGCCATATCTACTCGAAAAATACAAAATCAAACAAGAAGATATTAACGGTACACCACGCAGATACTTGAAAGTGCAGTCCATCATAAATGTCAGTACATACTTTAATATTGTATTATAGCACGGTATAAGTTAATTCATTTCCTAATGTTTAGTAATTATACACAATCCATTTAATTAATATCAGGATAATTTACCATATCTAGCTGTCCTACAGAGCGAGCGAGAGGCCAGCATAAAGATGAAAGCAGGGAGAAGAAAAAGGGAACAAAGTAGTTTTGACATAAGATACAGGATAGAAATGTTTCTCAGCATCAACAACCATTTATTTTTGCCAAATGTGGTCATGTTTCTGTTTTCAAACAAAATGCAACAATAGGCAATATAGAACTAACACAAAAGTTATAAGTAAGTTTTGCCAAGCAGGGAAAAGCCTGCCTGCTAAAATCTTCAAGACCCAAGTTTTGCAAAATTTTAAATCAGGGAAAAGAGAATCTTCTACGATGTGGCAAGACCCAAAGAGATTGCTAGAATACTTCTAATTCATAAAAAAGGCAATGATTGCTGTTATGCATAATGAGACCTATTTAAAACATTTCTATGCATCTCTAATTAATATTTACCTTTTTGAAATGTTTTTAATTGTAAGCCCGCCTAAACATTAAGACAGATTATCCCAAGCAAGAAGCTAGGTACCTGATATTCCAGAAAATTGGGATTGTGAAAATCCTTCAGATTGCAATATCAGCAAGGAAACAAAAGCTGAAAAACCTGAATCTTTTCGCCTAAGAAGTGAAAATGACATTTTTCAAGCCCTCAAGAAAGAAACTAATATTCACAGGACCATAAGTTATATGTTTACAACCTATAGTCCTATAGTACTGTCACTCATAACATACTTTACAGAAGGTGGTTTTCAACTTTGAGAATTGCATAACAGAAAGACACCAATTATCACAGAGATGGTGAGAAAGTTGGAACCAGCAAGCAACTAAAAACATCAACTAAAATATTTTCAAATTAATCTAACTTGTTAAGGAAAACCCAGCGATGAAAACTCCAAAGGTTTTATTATTCTGCAGACAGAATATCAGTTTGCAGTGATCAATTGCATCCGAATGATGCATGCAGTCGTAATAAGCAGAAGTTCACTCCACCAAATTCAATTCAGAAAAACAATACCAAATTTTTTTTAAAAAAAAAAAAGGTTGGTGCCTTGTAACATTCATTCAATGACATGAAAAAGGGGTAAAACTCCATTTCATTGAGATCTTAGACCCATAAATTATTTTTTAAAGCCTCTAAGAATACAGCAGCAAGACAAAGGCCCTGAATTGATCAGCACGAAATCAGCACAAGCAAACTGATTGTTGACAATCATTTATCATCCAAATGTCCTTGACATAAACATTTATAACAAAAAAGGGAATAAAGGAGAAAGAAAGAAGGCTAGTTGTTGAAACCAAGTTTCTGGCAACGAGCGACCTCACCCTCATTAGGGAAAAATCCCATGAGTCGACCCGCTGAGTTCTGGTAAGCGTACATAAACCCTCCCATTAGCCATATCAGCCCTCCTATCACCATTGATGGCCCTTTTAATCCTGGCTTTATCCTGCACCAAGCAAAGACCAAAAGACCAGAAAGGTTTTAAACTTTAAAAACCAAAACCTATCTCCATTTCAGTCAACTTCAGAATTATATACATATATTCTGCGCAGAGAAAAAGAAAAGACCCAATTACATTTCTATGTTAGAAATCACATAATTATTGTTATGTGGATAAAGGTAGGGTTACCGGAGAGGTAGCCAACGCTGACAGAAACGCCAGTGAGAGTAACGAAACGGAGGTAATCGAGGGTGTTGAAATTGCCAACTACTTTGGTGAAAGGAGGATTTCGGTCTACAACTGGATACTCTGGTTTCGCCTAAGCAGTTATGTCAGTGTTCATCTTTGATCTAATCGTCCCGTCTCTCTTGCAGGCGCTGTCTCCCTGACGACTCGCTTTCATTTACTTGACTCACTAGATGGAGAAACAGAACAGAAGGTCCGAATGTCCGAATGATCTGATTTGGGATGTGTTATTGGGCCTCCAGGTTTGGGCCTCTTAGAACCATGTTTTGAATTAGAGCCTAAACAATGCAACCCATCAAATGGGTTGTTGTTGTTTCACTTTGGAAGAGAGATAAAAGAGTGCAGAAATAAAAAGATGGGAGAAGGGCAGGCTAGTCACTGGTGGTTCCCGTTAAAAGACTGAGATATGAACGGAAATTAAAGTACAAAGTTGCTTGTCTATGAAATGTAGTTGTCGGTTCTTGGAAGTGAATTTTCTTTAAAGTTAATTCTATAGCTAGCACCAATAAGTAATTGGTTTGATTAAGGTAATTTATTTTTATAAAAAGATTTTGGGTTTGAATTTTATAGTGATCATTTGTTTGGATCATCTCGAATATAATATTAATAATTATTTATTTTAAATTATCAAGTAAAATGTCGAAATTTATTCAAATAGAACATCAACATCTAAAATAATGATTACTCAAATAATTTTAAACTCAAACTTAGGATCATCTTTCAAAAATACATTCCATTAATATCTTTAATCTTTGACTTAATCATCATCTTTTTTCGGAGACTTTCACATAAAGTTATTATTTTTTTATAAGTTTTCATCTTCACTTAAATAGCCCTTTTAGGTTTTTAGTCTAAGTCTACCTTTTTTCTTTTTTTTTTGGTTTTTTATTTTTATTTTTTAGTTTTTTTTTTTGTAATTTTTTTGTTTGCTTTTTCCCTCTTCTTTTTTTTTTTTTGCTCACCTTTTTTTCATTATTTCATTTCTCTTTACTCTTTTATTCATCAATGATACTTTGATCAAAGCTTCACACAATCCAATGACAAACATGTTTCAATTCAATTCATGATTCTCCGAATTAAGAATTCATATTTGATCAAAATAAACTTTTAAGAGACGTAACGTAGGTTAAGGTAAAGGGTGCCAAAGAAAGAAATAAAATAGGCCTAAATTATATTTGAAGCGTAATCAAACCAAGAATCATTTCTTCATGTGAAACACTTTGACATTTTACCCCCTCAATTTTTCTTTTTCTTGTTTTTTTTTTTTTTGGTGGAACACATTGGTATTTTGCCTTATCAAAAATTCTTTTTTGTGTTGGCATTTTATCGCCATTAATTTCTCTTTCGTTTTTCATTTTTTCATTTGTCAAAAACTTGAGTGCAAAAGGGCTTTGCTCCTAAGAATGAATAAATCTATAAAACTTTACCCCCCAATGTGGGGTGATCATTGATTAGGGTTTCAAAAAAATTTTTAATAAACTTAAATAGGATAGCAAGGGATAATTATTTTTTTAAAGGATAGAATAAATATGATCATTTTTCATTTTGAACATGAATACTATCAATGGATAATCTTTATTGACTAAAAGCAAATTTGTGAATGAGCAAAAATTATATGTTGCATCATTTTTTAGATTCTTTTTCAAACTTGTCCTTTTATTCAGTAGTCCCTATGGATCAACAAATTTCATCTATCATCGAATGAAGTTTTCAAAAACCAATCCTAAGTTATCGTTATAACTGTCTGAATATTCATTATTTGTAATAGAAAAATGGATATAAAAAAAAAGGTATGATGAGGTAAAAATTAATAATGGTGATTCACATAAAAGAGAAAATATTATGAAAATGTATCAAATCTGTCACTTTTATTAAAATGATAAAAAATAAAATGAAATCCAAACACATAAAAAAAAACTTATATTCTAAAAAAATCCTAAGATGATAATCAGTTTCAATCAACCTTCCTAAAATCATACCTTTAGTGATTAGACAAAAAGTCTCTGTAAGTATTCAGCTTTTTTAATTCATTGAAGCTTATCGAGCCTGCTTGAATCAAACTTTGCACTTTATGCTTGAAAGTAGGACAGATTTTATAAAGTGACCCATATTCCCATTATGGTAATCACATATGGCATTAATATTATATCATTTGAGATAAAATGGCTTTAATGGCTCTAGAAAGACTAAAGATAATACGTTATTCTTGATCAATTTTGAAAATAGTTCAGTATAGGTTATAAAAATAGGATCAATAAAGCTCTTTTTTGATTGCTCATGGATCTTTTTAAATTACTCGCTTGATTGTTAGACCTTGAAACTGGTGTAACAATAGGATGGGGCCCATATGCAGGTGCTTAAAAAGTTTATTGAAAAGGACTTACAACAATATTGTTCATGGTTGAGAGATAAGGCTGGTAAAAAACTTGCACAACATTATTGGCTGTTGGATAGTAAGCAAGATGAACATATAAATGGATATAAAGCATAATTTCTGGATTGTTGCCCTTTCAAACTCACCACTTGAGCTTCATCCTTTTTCTCTTAGGCATTTCACCTTCTTTGGTACTGTTGATTTTTCTTCCTTAAGCTTGTCACTCTTGATAGTATTTTCAATAATCTCTCATGAGATCATTATATCAGTAAAGTTTTTTATTGCATTTCTATCATCTTTTCATAATAAGGTGACTTTAAAGTATTTACAAACAAAATTATCATTTTTTTTCAGTTAAGGGTGGCTGAACTTAAGCAACTATATCTCGTTATCTTTGGGCATATTCCTTGAAAGATTCACATATTTTTTCTTTAAACCTTATAACGAAATGGGATCAGAGGTCATATCTATGATGTGATGGTATTGGTTAATGAATGACCAAGTCAAATCTTTTCATGATTTAATGCGAGTTTTATCCAACTGAACATATCACCCTGCAGTAGACCCAGTTAAGCTATCCTAAAACACATGCATTAACAGTTTTTTATTGTTAGCATGTACCATTATCTTACGACAATACATTGTGATATAAGTAATAAGGCACTTGGTACTATCATACTTATCAAATTTTGGTACTTAAATTTTGAAAGAATCACAACATCTGAAACCAAACAAAAGTTGGCAGCATCCATGGATCCATATAAATCAATGCCTTCTATAGCCCATAATCTTTCTTTGAGCCTGTTCATTGCTTGATCAATTTTATAATTTTTCAAGAGCACAGTAATTTGTAGTTTTTTTCTCATTTTTAGTCTTATCCATTTTGAGAATTTGGATTGGCTCATCTACCATTTCAATGAAGACAAGATTGGTATAGCTTTGAACATTCATTTTATTGAAATTTGAGAATGTGGTCTGTTGTTGATAAAAGCTTAGAGTGGTCTAAGTCTAATGTGGCCCAAACCTGAAGGATATAGTGGCTCAGTATCTTCATGTGAGATGCATTCTTCTGTTACCTTTTTCAATTTTTCTTTTTTAGAGCTTTTAAGGATTTTGTTCAATTTTTCTTTAAGTATCTCCTGAGCTTTTTCTATTCTTTCAAGCCATTCTACATTGTTTTACTCCATTTTTTTGGCTTTAGCCCGAGTGTATTATTGGTGTTGAACTATCATTGAACCTTGATTTCCTACAATTATGGTGTAAATTTGGAATGATATTTATGGATCTATCAGATTATGCATGAGAATGAATACAATGATGCATGAATGCATGTATACATAATAAAAAAAGGTTAGTAAACATAACATTTAATTTGCATGTATGTTTATGAATATGCATAAAAAGAAAAGAAATAAAAAAAGATTAAAAAATAGTTAGTCACCTCAAAATAAAGAATAAACACTATAAAGTAAGTAAAATAACAACATAACCATAGATTTGGGTTAACTATAAACGGTGAAAGGACATGGCTCTATCAATGGTTAGGCTCTTAAAGTTAACTATATATGGTTTGGATAGCCTTTAAAAGATTCTCAAGTTATTTTTTACATCACATTTCATCACAGACTAGTAAGGTGAGTACAAGCAAAAAAGGTCTAATCTGAGTGAGAGTGTTTTGTAGGCCCACGCGAAGACATAAAATCTTACGATAGTATAAGTACTTCACTCCCTCCTAAAGGTAGAGCCTGGTAGAGGGCTTATGTAAATGAATGACAAGTATATATGCAATAAATAAGTAATTAAACAAATATAAGCAATGAATAAAAAGAAAGACAAATGAATAGTTAAGCAAGTATATACAATGAAAGGGAAAATAATAAAGCCAATATAAGCAATGGAAGGGAATAAAATAATTTCAAATTTATTAAAGAAGGCTTTGGATAATAAGAAATTATTTACTGGTCTGACTCTCGAGATCTCCATTGAAGTTACCAAATTATCATAACGTATAAATCCGTAGATTTACTACTAGACACGGATTAAAGGAGTTACCACAAATCTTTTTTTGTTTATGTGTAATTGGTCACCTAATATAGATTACGATCTACAAAAATAGATGCTAGGTTCAAGAGTCAATTACATATGAAAAATGTTATAACACACTCACAACACCCATCTAACAGATGGTACCAGTGTGATTTCAAGTTATCCAAGCTTTAATAATATTTGTAATTGCCTAATTAATTTTTTCACCTTAGAAGTATTCATAAAGACTAGTGTTATATTATGAAAAGGCTTCATCATCTGATTTATTAAAATATCTTTATTTAGAAAAATTAGTAAAGCCTTTTAATAGTTTGATAACTTACTTTAAAATAGATTTTCATATAGTTTGGTGAGATTTTATTATAAAAAGATTTATAAAAATTTATTCTTTTTGAGAAAATTCATTAAGTCTCCCAATAATTTGGTAAGATTTAATTTGAATTAATCCTTCAATAGTTTAAAAGAAAAAATTATTTTTTATTTTTTGAAAATTGATTTATGAAATTTTTCAATAGTTTGGTGGATTCCATAAATCTATTTGAAAATTTTTTTTATAAATAAGTACAAAGAAAAAATCATAATAATAAGTAAGGTATTTTTTTTCAATTTAAAATAAGAAATAATAAGAGTAAATAAAAACAAACAAAATAAACAAATAAAAAAGAAAAATAAAGACAAAATAGAAAATGGAGTGGAAAAGGGAAAGAAAATATATGTGATCGGGTAGGGTTGTGCATGGTAAAACACGTAGATTTAGATGTCTCAAATTTTAGGCTTTTATTTAAAAGTGTTTGAATATGAGTCTCTTTCTAAAATGACAATTCTTCTGTATTCTCTCTAACTAATTTTCAGAAATTGACGAATAAATCTCAAAAGTTGATAGAGAATTTTCAGAAACTCAATAAATTGTCTAGAAATCTAAATCTAAGAATCCCTAGAA